GTAGAAGAAATCAATGAAATAGTACGGATCAACAAAAGTAACATTGTTTGAAAAAATGAGTAAAATCAGCAAACTTTTTAATAGCGATCCTACATCCAGGCAGCCACAGTTAACCTGAAAACCAGGATTTTGTTCCATTCCCCTTGGGTGTTAATAAAGCAGGCAACAGAATGACATTGTGAACAGTTTTACACCAGTAAGTTTGAAAATGTTGCTGAAGTAGATAAAATAAGAAGAAGGAATCATTCTCAACTCAGAAGACCTGACACAGTCATGGGAGAGAGGAACCCACAGACTGCTCACACTTGGAGTCAGTCCTGCATCCAGCATCAATATCTACACAGAGCTCAGCAGCATGTACAAAGATAGTTTACCACATCCAAACCAGGCTGCTTCAGAGATGCACATTTGCCTTAACCTTGGAGGTTTAATCAGGGTGATTTAGTGTACTGCCAATCACAGTAAGGGAGAGAAGCCACATGGCCATCCCGGTGACACTACACAAGTCATTGATAAGGTTCGCCCTCTGGCAGTAAACGAGGAATAAAGGATTACTTATCAGAAGATCAAGGCTGCTTACAAATCCCTACAGCCAATGCTGGCTGGCTGTTCTGGTGGGACCTGAAAGCTCCCTTCAAGATTGTCTGGGTTCTCTACCCTAGAACCTGAGCTAGCTTGGCATATCCGAGGAAAGTGTAGGGGGAGAGAAAAAAAAAAAAAGATTGTCTTAGTTCTCTAGTGCTGCTATGACAGAAATATCACAAGTGGATGGTTTTACCAAACAGGAATTTATTACAGTTTAGGAGGCTGGAAGTCTGAATTCAAAGTGCTGGCTCTAGGGGCTAGCTGGAAGCCTCTTGACTTTGGGCATCAGCTCTGTGTCTTGTTCCAGGCCCACTGGAGCTGGAGGCTTCTCCTAACTCATGCAACTACTGGCTGCTGAGGCTGATGATCCCAAGATCAGCAGGCAGCACGACCAGCCACTGGTTCAAGCTTAGGAACAATCCCAAGATTGGAAGACAACATGGCAGGCCACTGGTTCAAGTCCAGAACTGGAGATGAAAACTTGGCCAAATGCAGGATCCAAATGTGCCAAAAAGCTAGAGACCTTTCCTACAGCTTTTCCATATATACTGGAAGCAGGCCACACCCTGAAGGTGACTCCCCTTCAGCTACTTAGCTGCTTACAGCAGATTCCACCATGGAGCTGACTATAGTCTCATCATGTGGAATAACTACATCCAGCTGCCAAGCCACTCAAACCCATGCCCAGCCAAGTTGGCACACAACCTTAACTCCCACAAAGATGTAGAACAAAAGAAAGTGCCTGCCCGCTTTATCTAGGCTCTAGCGTGCAGTGAATGCAATTAAATGGAACGTAGTGTCCTGAATGGGGTCCTGAGAAAGTACAGGGACATTAGGGAAAAACCGAGGGAATCTGAATAATTTAGACTTTACTAACAGTGCATCAATGTCCATCAATTGTGACGAAGGCGCACACTAATATATGATACTAAAAACGGGAAACTGTGAGCAAATGAAACTCTGTACTGTCTTTGCGGTTTTTCTGTAAATCTGAAACTGTTCTAAAATTGTTTATAAGTCCATATTCAGAAGCCAATTCCATTTCTATATAATAAAAAGTTAAAATTCATGAATGATACTATTTTACCAGAGCATAAAATATCAAATATTTTGGCACAAACCTAATTAAATTCAAAAGAGGTATTTTGAGAAACTGTAATGGGAACCTAACTAGAGTGATGTCCCATCTCCCCACATTCACTTACAGATTCAGTGCAGATCCCAGTCAGATCACACAGGTGTTTTGTATGACATTAAAGCTCTTGACAAGCTGATCCTAAAATGTTCTGTGGCCATGTAGGAGTTCCAGACAGCCATGGCACTGGGAAAAAAGAGTGAAGGGTGAGGATGGACCCTGCCAGGTATCACATGCACAAGATTGTAGCGGTGGGGCGGGGCAGGTACATAACAGGGCTGGTGACTTGAGGGAACCATAGCGAAAGCAGTGCCTGGAGAGCCCTGTGGCTGGGGAGCAGTGAGGGGATGACATCCGGGGCAGGTGGGGAAAGGTGAAGCTGGCCCACCTCACCACACGAAACCTCACTTTGAATGAATTAAAATCCTCATGTGAAAGGCAAAACCATGAGCATGGGTGAAACAGACATTCTTGAAGATGTGACCAGCACTAGCTAACAAAAGATTGATAAATGTAATTACATTAACAATAAAGACTACTAACTATCAAAAGGCATCATAAAAGTGAGAAGACAAGCCACAGAGAGGGAAGGATATCTGCAACCACTTTCATTGAAAAGGACGTTGGCTAGACCACAGGAGAAATTCCTACCAGTCAGGGAGCAAAGAGCCAGCGACCTGTGGTGAAATGTACTGGACACACTGGGTACATGACTGGAGGGAATGTGAACAATCAAGATACTGGGTGGATGCCTGACCCCATTATCACCAGAGCACTGGACACTGTCGGAAGGAGGTATTGGTAGGGATACATGTCCACTGCTGCTGGTGCCTTATCTGGGAACTGCTAGGAAAAACATTTGGCCTCAGCCACTGAGTCAGAGCACTGACCTGTGATCATCATGTCTGGTCCTCCCTGCACACCTCTGTGCACCCAGACGTGTGTTCACTGAGATATTACACATACCTTCCCAGATCAGAAAAACTGCATATCCTGCATATGGATTGTCACATATTTAAACTGAGATGTCACTAAGTGAGAAAGCGGATGAACTGCTGCTGCATGCAGCAAAGATGAATCATACAGATGGAATGAGGAGTAAGAAATGCAAAATCTAAGTACAGTCCTGTCCATTTACATAAAATTAAACAGGCAAAACTGTTTCTGAGGGAGATGGAGAGGTGAGGGATTCCTGGAAAAGTCCTGACTGTGCACCTTTGGGAGAAGGCAACTAAGGGACCAGGTGTGAGAAGGGTTGCATCCCTACCCACGTTTGTTTTACAAACTCTTTAGCTGTGTATATAATTTTATACATATTTCTACACGTCATTACATTTTATAATAAAACTAAAATTTAAAGTTTTTTCTCTTACTGCCTCCCAGAAGCAATCACTGGATCCAATTACTCTAGTAACATATACTACATACAGTGTTGCAACACGTAATTTGCTGACATTAACCCTTCTCAGGTGTGATGTTTCCAGCCTCTAAAGACAAATATAGATTGGATTTATAAAGATAATAATGAAAGACAATAAAAAATGAAAAACCAAAAAATTAGGTATTTGCCTTAAATCGGAACTGACTTAGGACTGAGTCATTGGAATGGAACCCTGTCGTAAGTTAGGGACTACTTGTAATTCCTGTTTCTTCTAGAAATATTCTTCAATCAATCTCATTTGTGTGTGCCATCTCCCTTTGTGAAACATAAAGAGACCACACCACGTCATGTTCCTACATGGTGTTTGTTGGCTTTTCCCCACTAAACCCTGGATTTTGGGAGTTTTATTGCAGAGATTCCCTTGTTCTTCTGCAGCAACCTTGTGCTAAAGCAGAGTTATAACATGGTTTGAATGAACCTGCCCACATTGGTGAGCCTTTGCTAAGTTCCAGGTTTTTAACACAGATATGGAGGAGTGAAAATGTAGGTGGGCGCCCAGGACAGGAACTGTGGGTCCCGAGGGCGTACAGTTTTATCAGGATTGCCCCACATGGCGACATATATGCTGCAGACTGCTTCCTTCTCGGTGCATCTAGATGTTGAAAGGTAGAGTCTGGTTTGTTGATTTGTATTTCTTTGATTTAAGAGTAAGAACCACGCTTAAAAGCCCTTTTGAACTTTTTTCCTCTGGATTGCCTATTTATTTTTTGCCAGTTTTTTCTCTGTCAAAATTTTTTATTTTTGTATGGTCAAATGTATTGATCTGTTCAAAGGTTTCTAGGGTTTTTACTCAAGCCTGCACCATCATAGTATTCTTAATGCTTTCCCAGTCTGCTTTGATAGTGTCTGTTTTCTACAGGTAACTTTTTGAGCCATCTGAGATGTATTTTGTGGTAGTGAGGGCCGGGTTCTAACTGCTCCCAAAGCCCCTGTCCCCCAGTGCAGAGTATACACAGTGCCTTCCTCCCACTTTTCACTGCTGCGTCATTCCGCCTGAGTGGACCTGGGTCTCTTTCTGGGGTGGCTCCTCTGAAGCGGATACCTGCTCTTGTTCCTCGCTTAGCAGGGAAGGAGTCGAGGGTTCCCTGTTCAACCAGGGGCCAGCTAGCATTCAGCCTGAGATGCTCAGTCAGCATAAGGAACACCTCTTCCCTATCTGACTCTGGTGATGGTTTTCATCAGAGTAAATAACTGACTTAATCCCTTGTGCCCATCATTATGTAGCTCTGCCCATTTACCTGGTAGTGAGTTAAGTGGTAGGTGTTAGTGAACCATCTTTGCATTCCTGGTATGAACTCTATCACGGTGTTTTATTAAGTTACTGTTGTTATTATGTTATTTGCCGTCGAGTCGGCCCCGACTCATAGTGACCCCTCCTTGGGTTTCCAAGGCAGTATCACTACGGAAGTAGGATTGCCCAACCTTCCTTCTGAGGAGTGGCTGGTGGATTTGAACCACCAGCCTTCTGGTTAGCAGTCAAGTGCCTTAGGCACTATGCTACCGGAGCTTAATATTTGTGTGTGTGTGTGTGGTGTGTTTTCCAGTTTGGGATTATAGTCACAAGTGGGTTTAGTAACACCTGGTTCAGTGTTTAGAATTAATTAGAGATTAAAACTCTGCTCATAGAATCACAGTGTGGAAGGCCAGGCGAGTACTTTTTAGAGTCTGAGCAATAATTGGCCCCAGTGTACCTTGGTTGGTACAAAAAAGCCAGTATTACCCTCAAAAGTAGTACTAGTTTATTCCTCAGCCCAGAGCTTTCCCATTTTGTGCGTACTGGAGTGTGTGATATAACTGTTTTGAAAGTAAACTCCTTCTCTTTCTTTTGTTTAAAAATAGGTCTGTGATGTTGGACAGAGCGGAGAACCTGCTTCACGACCACTATGGAGGGAAAGAGTACTGGGATGTGAGTATTTCGTGATGGGCTGCTGCTCAACTTACAACATTCGAATTTGTTGGTTTAGTTCCAAAAAATTAAAAACTATTACAAACTCCTTTTTTCGATCTTGCTGACTAAATATATGGCTCTTAGAAGTAATGGGTTTAGGCCTCTAACAGCTTACTGTGAATTTTGACCACTGCAAAGACACTGCAGTATCTCCTTTGCCCTTGGGTAGAGCG